GCAACAATACTACAGCGAGAATAAAAGTTACGCCTTCTTTCTTTGCGTGAACATTTGGGCGGCGTTATGCAAATCTTCCCACATCGTGACGTAGACATGTGGGGGCGTGTTAGAACGAGCCGTTTTAGGTAGGCGTGGCTGACTCTTAACTTTTATAAAGAATATCTCTTTGGATTTGAGACTTTAGTCTTTGCAACTTTACAGATCTTCTTTATGCACCAAGAGCTTGTAGCACTCCAAAGAGAAAGGAACAATTGAAATCGCATCACATGACCCCTTTAATGAGCTTCTGCCTGAAATTAATTCATGTTAGCTAACTGTATGATTCTATTACCTTGAACTGTTCATTTGTGAAATGAACATTACTTGGACACATTCACTTTTGATAACATATCACTCTAAATTGTAATGTAGACACATGCATTTTCAGTAAAGCTGCTTCGAAACAATGTGTATTGTGAAAAGCGCTATACAAATAAATTTGAATTTCTCTGTACTATTAACTTTTTTTTTTTGCAAACATGATTGTATAATAACCAGCATGTTAAACTCTATTCCTGAAAGATTGTCATAAAAGTGATGAAATAAAGAAAATCAGTTTCAACATATCTCAGCATATGTTTCACAATCCATCTATATATGATCAAATAAGATTCTGCAAACAGGAAGTCAGTACCACCCTATTCCAAGAAAATACTAAAATAATCACACATTTAGATTAGCGAGAATATTTTGTGTCTCATGAAAGAGATGTATGCATTTCCTGTGGTGAAACATCGACAATGAGAACGTGTGAGCTGCTCCTCACAAGTCACTGCGAAGATAACTGTGCTTCTAGAGCTGGAGCACCACATTCATTTTAATAAAGCTGAATGAATAACTGAGGCCCATAAACATCGGTGACCAGATACTCTTTTATTCATTGATATGCTATAAGACAGCTTTTGTACACATAAAATGCTTTTAATAATACTGGTTCTGCTTCAAGGGTTCAAACAATATTAAAAGGGAAGCAAATGCAATGTTTACATCATTCATTACATGTTGACCATGATCAACCTCCAGGCACAGAGACTGGACTCTGAGTGTGCAGGCGTACAGTACTTCTGTTGCAATCACAATACTGCTGCATACAAAAGAGAAGTGTGCCACTGGTGAAAGGGTATGAAGAGCTAGAGGAAAGTGATGCAGGAATTGCGTTTCCCTATGTTCCCGAACCTAGTTTTCTCATCCAAACCTTTACCTGAAAAGTCTATAGTGAAAATGTTCTATAGGAGGGTATAATATTTAGTGGCCTGCCACAGGAATCTGCCCTTAAACAATAAAGCTGGGTATCCTCTTGAAGAAGGTGAAAATGATCTCTCGTTGGTACAAAACACAGTTTGAGGAAACAGCAGACCATGGATGTTGATGCTTAGCAAAGACTTCAGAAGAGTTTATGAACCCTGTGAGACCAGTCTTGTGAAATTGTGGGTGAATGTTGTGAAAACGGAACAGGGTTTGGTTCACTCCAAAAAACCAAAGACAAATTTAGCATTGTGAAAAATAAAGCCGTTTTAGGACCATTACGATTTTTTTACATTCTGACATGCATATTCACTGTGATGTTAAAAGCATCTCATTGTCATTCGTGTAATGTGCGCAGACGCTTAGGCTTTTCCTCATTCTCAGTGGTGATTCTTACTACATTCTCATTACTGTAAAAATGGTAAAAATCTACTTTTTTTAAATCAACACCATAAAGGCAATACAACTAACTCAAACCACGGTGTATGACCACTACGCAATTGAAATATATCATTATTTTTCTTATGCATGACGGTAATAAGAATTTATGAGAATTTGATGTGAAATGTGCTTAATTACTGTGAAAATAACGGAAGAGATACGGAAAATAAAATAAGCTTCTTTTATGCACAATATCCTTTCTTTCTTTTGATTTTGAGTGAAATATGACTTGTGCTTTATGTGCTTTGTGCTTCAGTTCATCTTTTAAAATCAGAAAGAAAAAACTAAGGGGAGCATGAAGGTGTGAACTGACAGTGCTTTACAAGAACAGCCACTTAATGCTTTAACTAATAAAAAAAAAGAACATTCATCGTAACATTATATAGACATTCTCAACATCTTCATCCAGAGCAACACAAGCAGACGTGAGTGCTGGAAGGGAACAGTGCATTGACAAACAGTCACTCTCACACTCAGATGAAGGCGTGACGGTGTGAGTGCTGCTGAAAGAGTAATGATCATGTAAAAGGATCTTCAAAAGAAAGAATAAAAAAGTGCTGAGGATAAAGTGATTTCAAGTAACAGGAGTTCTTTATAAAGGGGGAGAGGGAAAGCATCCTATTGGCTCTTGCTGTGACTGACATCTTGTTAGCTCCTCCCTTTACAGCATGTGACAGGAGCTCCATTCAGACTCTTGAATCAGTCTGAACACGTCTGACTCTTTCTTCTTCTCGTGTCACTGATGTCACAGCCAGAGAGACCTATGAATGACAAAGGCACAGCACTGAAGCTCTGCAATCACCTCAAGACACGACGCAATCTCATGAACTCTTCAGGTCATATTTCATTACAAAATATGAAGAAAAAAATGCATTGTGACATTATTTTCATTAGATTTATTTATTTTTTTTATCTGGTAACACTTTACTTAATGCCTTTGTATAAAAAGTAGTTTTAATGCATTAATTATGCCTTGTAATGCACCTTATAATGCATTATTATATCTAATGAATAATTGTATCCACAGTTATAATAGATTATCTATACTTTAGAAAGTATAATGTATTTAAAACACATGACAGTCAAACCTTCAAATATTATAATGCCTTTGAACTATGGTTACAATTGTTTATAAAAAGATATGATGCATTACAATGTACATTATGAATACTTTTATAATGCATTATACATAAAGGCTTTAAGTAAAGTGTTACCAAAAATCTTATTCTGATTACTGTTATGTAAAAAAAAACATGATATTACTATTATTACTAAATTGTATTAATTGGTAAAGTGCATTTATGTTGTAGTCATATTTATTGTACTGAATTTAATGGATAAATAAAGTATTAAAAATAAGAATAAGGTTCTTGTCCTGAAATTAGCTTCATTTTCTTGATGCAAAATAGTATTTCTCATGTTTTTCCTAATGATTTTGGGGTGAAATATGACCTGAAGATGTTATTTGTGAGATTTAACTATAAAATGCACACAGAAGAGCACAGAAACTGATGCTCAGACAGACACAGACACACATGACTTAGTAACACATTATCCTGTGTTTCACCGGCTGCAGACAGGCACTCTGAGGTCAGGACAGGGTCACACAAATCCATCTGACCTTAATCTGACAGGTCACACACACACACACACACACACACACACACACACACCCACACACTGACCTGTGTGCTGGTTTGCTGGTAAAGCAGCAGAGGCTGTGCTTCAGTGATGGCCGCCCAGCTCTTGGTCCAACTCCTCAAATTTGCCTGTCCGTTGAGAAGACTGAGCAACTGACAGCTGCTTCTGAAACACACACACACACACACACACACAGCTGAAGATATGCTGACTAAACTAGTATGGTTGTACATCTGCAGTAAAGCGAACAACACCCTGAGCTCAGGAGGAAGCATTTTAAACAGATTCTCGAGATACAGTGGCCTAAAAACCCGAAACAATAATTATCAGTCATCCACAGGAATACACTCTAAAACACATGTTGAATTGTAATTATTGCTCTATTGACATTTAATTTAACACTAGAAATATTTACAAAAACTGCCACTGAAAGACACTCTGACAGGAATATGAATTTCAGAATAATCAAACCAGTCAGCTTTAGCTGGAACGGCTGCGAGTCTCTTATTTATGCATCAATAACTAAAACACACAGGTCAAACATATAAAACACTCACGGCTGAGTTATTGAGTAATTTCATTATATTTGTATGCGTTGGACATACATGTAGATGTGGTCCACATGAGTTCAGCTCGATCACATTTAAGAGTCAAATAATGTACGATTTGCTGATTTGGCTTTCTATGGCTTACTGTGGCTTTTGTGAATGCTGCAATAGTCCTGGTTGTTTTAGATGGACTATCGTTTGTTTAAAGACAAACCAACTACTGATCTGCTTTCTCCTTCTCTTCATGCTTTCTGAGGTGTGTTTGACACTGACAGACATTATGTGGTTCGTTCATTTTGATTGCATTAGAGAATGTACTTTGAACATTTAGATTTTTACTGCAACAGTATCAACAATTTCACTCTTCAAAATCTGGGGCTGAAATCAAAGTGCAGAGTGCTTAAAGTACCATGTGTTGAAGTAATTCTCAGTGTGTCAGTAGTGGGGTGTAGTTTAACTCTTGCAATGACTTATAGAGATAGTTTCTCAGGTGATCCAGCAGATTTGAGTGAGTTTACTCAGATTGGAGCTCAAACACATGGTGAGACTGCAGTGTGCATCAGTGGAGGACTGAGCTGTAAGCGCCCTCTTGAGGAAGAACTGTGTGTGACTCACCGGATACATGAGAGGAAAGGAGAGGATTTTTTTGAGCAATGTTGTTTGGGCGCTTTCTCATTGAGAATGGGCAACAGATTTCTATCTGGATACTTCAGATCGGTCGTGAGCCCTGTGTCTCACCCGGTTGCCCATTGCTTAGCAACACTGCTCAAAAATTTGCCCCGTGTAATCATCACCTTAAGGCCTGCATTTACACTGGCGCTCAAATCTGATTATTTACTGATCAGATAATGATACACTTGTAAACAGAAACATCCACACAATTGTTTTCACATCCAATGTGAGCCACTTCCAAATGTGGCTTTCAATCAGCTCCATTTCCAGTATCTGGACATCTGAGCTACATCCAAACACACACATCAGATTCCCACTGGGATCCCAAAAACCTCACTGAGGAGTGAACAGCTCTGAGACACAGTCTGACTGACTGCACTACAGTACATTCATCTCAACACGTTTATCAGATACGAGCCGACCTGGGCAATACGCCAATATCATTCAATATCTATATTTATTACAATATTCATTTCACCGCATTAATGTTAAAGGAAATGCATTCCACATGTTTTGCCATAAAACTTTAACAATTCAATTTTAAAAATTAAAAGCTTTTAAAAATGTAATTAAATCAAAATATAACAATGTGCATGAAAGCACTGCATTTTTTCATTCCTTGAAATAGTCATCATAAATGAATGTAATGTTTTAATAAATTAGATCATTATTTTTACTATTACTACCACTTTTGAGAAGTACATTCAACTGCACAAGAGAAATATATTTCTGTCATAATTTCCTGACGTTAAACTGAACTTTATTTTGGCAGGTTGCAAATTATTTAAAATATTTGTATCAATATTTTGGATTGTTTTCAATAAATACTGATTAATACAACAATAACAATGAATTTATAAATAAATAAATAAATACTGATTTATCACCCAGCCCTACTAGTCCTGTCTTAAAGGAACACTCCACTATTTTTGAAAATAGGCTCATTTGTCAAGTTTTAATTAGGAAAAATAGAGAAACTCTTTGGTCATTTTTGAGCGAGATGCTAACGGTCTAATCAGATTCAATGATCTATGCTAAGCTACAGCTAAAAGTGCTACCGCCAGACCCGGAGATCAGCTGAATGGATTCGAAAACGGTGAAACTCAACTGTTTAACTCTAGGGGAGTCGGAAAATGAGCCTATTTTCAAAAATAGTGGAGTGTTCCTTTAAACTACTGTAAACAGGTAGGACACAAAATAAAAAAGGAATACGTTTCTCACCTCGACTTTTTTCTTAGGCTCAGTGCCGCCCCCTGCTGTCCCTTCAGCTCCCTGCAGGCCTTCAAAACACTGCTTACACATGCGGATGTTCCTGCTCTCCGACACCTTCGAACACTTCCCACAGACGGCCTGCAGACGAACACGGCACACGTCAGGACGCACTGCATCGCATCAAACCTGTGTCTGTGTGTACGCAGCCGACTCACGTACCGCGCCGCAGCTCTTGCAGTGGTGTTTGCGTTTGGTGAAATGGAAGGCCTCGCTGCAGCCTTTGCATGTTTCTTTCTCCTTCTCTCGTTTCTTTGAGCTCTTCTACACACACACACACACAGGTTAACACAGTGACGTCTAGCCTGTATTCAGATGTGTCTGTGTGTGTGTCGTCTCACTCACCCTCTCATGCTGAGCTCCGTCTGCCTCACATGTGCTCGTGCTGCTCCACAGGCCCTGCGAGCAAACCACAGAATCACACATGAGGAGGAGAGAAGAGTCACGTGATGTGTTCGTGTGCTTGTGTGACGATGAAACACAGCACTGTGCTTTTAAAGTGTGACCACTAGATCATGCCCATGTCACATTTCTCTCCGAAACCAAGGAACATTGCCAAATGTTCATAATTCCAGTGTGACTAACAACCGCGGTGCACAGAAAACATGACTAAGTAAGGCTAGTTTGGAAAGGGTTGAGTGCATGAGGGATGTGTTACCGGCGTGTCAGGCGTGTGCTCATCATCACGGCTGCAGGAGATGTTGAAGGCTTTGAACGTCTCGCTGTTCTGCTTGTGCTTCTCAATCGTCGCCAGGATCACCTGCAAACAGATGGAGAGCATCCACACCTCAGCTCTGATGATCAAGTGCGCTCACAACTGAGAAACGACAGATTCAAGTGAACTGAATCACAGATTTACTGACTCTAAAGAACCATCTCTGTCGAACGCACTAAGGAGAGCGAGGGTAAATGTCAATGTCGATTTTCAGTGAAGGACGACTTATATTTCAGTCTCCAGTATATTGCATGAGTCATATGGACTACTTTTATGTTGCATTCATGTCCCTCTTCATTGCCTTCCACACTATTCTATGCAATTAAAGTACATTTCTCCTTTTGTGTTCCACAGAGCAGAGTGAAAGAAGATGAGCGTGAGTGAATAATGACACGAAACGTCCACACACAGAACCTGTACACTGTACTTCTGTAGCGTGACACATCTGAGAGTGAAATAAGGCATTCACGAGGACTTGGTTATCTTAATTAGGAATTGACTGAAGGGTGAAAAGAGTCTCCATAACGACAATGATGGTTGAAAAATAAGAGGGTTTTAGGGCTTTAAGAGATGTTTCAAAGACAAGTTATTGCATTTGATGGAAATTATGCATTTTTCTTCTTTAGAATACAGTGGACTGTTGAATTGATCACAATATGAGCACGAGTCAAGAATGTAATTTTGCTTATAATGTCATTACATGCAGTCAATTACATTTTCATGTTGACCTGAAATAGAATTGCATAAAAATATGAAAACCGGCAATGATGCTGTTGAAGCTGCAGTTGTGCTGAAATCACACCAGAAACCCTTGTCAAAAAGCGATTAATTGTACTGAATGTGCACTTGGAGTGAACATTTGTGCAAAGAGAATGACTCACTTTTATCCAGTCGTCCTTCTCCTCAGCCGTCCTGTCAATCACAGACATAAGCACACATTCAGACTCCACACAGGCCTGATGGGTAAGAGCTCATATGTACTGTATATTTTCAGGAAGATTTAAGCTACATTGTGAACATTTGCAATTATTGTAGCATACTTTTTCAACATTAAGTGTCTCCACAAGCCTGCATGAATATGCATGCTATGATGTTTGAAGTGCGTCTAATTTAAACTTTAGTAGCAAAACCAGAGGGTATATTGTGATATACTTAGTGTTATAATGCTGAGAAATATCAAGTCTTTGGACAGCAAGTGCTGTGTGCATTCACCTGGCCTGCAGCTCGAGCGAGCGCTGTTTGCCGATGATGGTGAAAGTGTGAGGGGCGTTCTGCTTGACGTTTTCCTGAACCTTCAACCAACATGAGAACACCAGCATATGATGAGATGAAGACAGAAATAACCATAAACGCAGCTGAACATATGGCTGAAGTCATACCTCCATCCCTGCGATGTCGATTCGCTCTCTGACACTGAACTTCTGTCCCATCAGCCTCAGCTTGGGCACACAATACAGCACCATGTTATTGAACTGGAGAAGCACAAACACACACATCATCAGCACCAGCATACTCATTCTCATTTGTCTTGAAGCTGAAATGAATGAGCAGATAACAGGAAGAAGCTTTAGGATTTTCTTTCGTCCACAGAACATAAAGTGAGAAGTTTGGCAGATGGTATTAGCTGCTCTCCTCCACACAACTAAAGCATACAATAGCATAAATGTATCATAACAAGATTCCATATGACTCTAATAGTTCATATAAGTCTGCACAAATCATATTTTGACTTTAGCTTAAACAGTTTACGGAATATCTAAACGTCAAATCTGGAGCAATGCATCTTGATGCAGCGTATTGAAACATTTGTGATTTATATGTCTTCAGAAGGTAAGCTTTTTTCCATTTCACTGCGCTGATTCTCCATTGCTTTTCTATGCAAACGTGCACTAGATGGATGTGTTTGAAAATGAAAATCTCGTGCATGAAATGTCGTTCTAAAAACGCAGCAATCAAGTTAAAAGGTGTTCAGCCAGACCTTTTTTGTTGCACTGCCTGTTTAACTGGAAAAATGCATTCTGTGTGAACTCTGATGGTACTTTTTCTCTTTTTTTGTTGATTCCATCGTATGGGAAAAGAGCAGCATCAACATTCTGCTGTAGCGTCTCGACCAATCTGACACACTAATTTTAATTTGATTTAACAAATCAATTATTCATTAGGTTAACAAATCGTCACAGTCCCCTCACTCAATAAACAACATCTTTTGTGTTTGAAACAACAGTAAATCAGTAAATGATAAGAATTTCATCTTCAAGTCAGTCAGTGCTTCTTGTTTTGTGTCAAGAAGTCAAACCATGATAACCCTTGATGCAAGAACACTTTTGAGGTATAGATAAACAGCTAAAGAGTCCTAATCGAGCAGACAGACACACCAGATAGAGGTATCGGTCCTGTGCCGTGCCGTTCTTAGCCGACATCTTCTTTATGTGGCCTTCTTTAATGAATTCATTGGCTGGATTAACGATGTCCTCCTCTCCGCCCAACTTCTCATACACCTCCAACAGCTTGTGCATCTTCTCCTGCGCGCACACACACACACACACACACACACACACACACACAGAGGGATGGTGGGTATTCTGCAGTCATTTGTAATTTGCATTCACAAACTCATTCGATGAAAAGAAGAACTGTGATCGGCCACATGACAGCATTAGAAAGAGACCGATAGAGAAGTGAGAGCGATATAGAGTAGGAGAGCCTTTCACTCGCACAGACTGGAAATGGAAACCGTACATCCTGTCTGAGAGATGAAACAAGACACAGAAGAGGAGGACCGGTTAAATAGGGCTCTAACCATTTTCCTGATGGCAGCGTTGGAGTGGTTCGCTGCGGTGGAGATCAGCTCCAGAGCATCTGACAGACAAACACAGTTAACAACCAGTTAAACACACCATCACTAAACACTGTTAAAAACAGCTCAGACTTTAAAAAGTCTCAAACTCATTTAAACATCAATGCGGTCTCAGATGTGGCGCATAAAAACACACAAATATAATAGATACGGTAGGAATAACAGGCTCAATACAATAAACATAATGCAGTTATTAAATGTCATAGGATGTTGCAATCAATAGGACTATAAAATGTAAGCACACATAAATTCATGTAAGCGATGTGAAATAGCCTTAAAATAACACTCAGTCCACAGTGGACGCGAGCGGCAGAAATAGAACGGCATCTGTCTGCACATGTCCAGACTCATCCAGCAACATCACTGTGATTATAATGGGCTCTGTTTGCATTTGTGAACAGTGGTGTTTTCACAAAGACTCCAGCGGACGAGCCCATCATTACCTTCACTTCAGATAATGACACACTCATCAGAAACCAAGCAGATGCTTTAGAGCCACCATCACGACTGTGATCACAGTTTTCACTACCGGTGCACTACTGTTCAATAGTTTGGGGTTAGTAATACCGGTATTCTATTTCAAATAAATGCTGTTCTTTTGAACTTTCTGTTCATCTGTGAATCCTGAAAAATAAAATGTTTCTCAGTTTCCACAAAAAATATCAGGCAGCACAACTGTTTCCAATATTGATAATAATCAGAAATGTTTCTTGAGCAGCAGATCAGCATATTATACTGATTTCTGAAGATCACGTGACACTGAAGACTGGAGGAATGATGCTGAAAATACAGCTGCGCATCACAGAAATACATTACAGTTTAACAGAGATTCACATAGAAAACAGTTATTTTACATTGTAAATGTCACGCCCCTGGACTCATTCTGTGTGTTTTTCCCTCTCCATCTGCCTGCCCTGACCCAGTTTTTCCTCATGTTTGATTGTGTTATTTGGTCCAGGTGTGTGTCATTAATTATCTTCATTTGCTCCAGTATTTAAAGTGTAGTCTGCCCTGTCTTCCTTCATCTGGTATTGAATGTCATCTTTCCCCGCTACGTGTGTGTTCCTGGTTCCATTGGATGTTTATTAAAGTCTGTTCGTTTGAAGTTTACTCCACGTCTCCTCGCTCCTCACAGTAACGGCTTGTGACAGTAATAATATTTCACAATATTACTGTATTTTTGATCAAATAAATGCAGCCTTGCTGAGCAGAAGAGACTTCTTCCACTAAAAAAAACATTAAAAGTCATACAGACTATTGGACTATTGAATGGCAGTGTGCATTTCGTGTCATTCTTTATTTCAGGCCGTATAACATGTTGTATTTCAGGTGGTGTTTTTCATTTTACATAAATAAATACATTTCTCCTAATTATTTATTTGTACTCACTGTTCATTATGCTTGTGTTTATTGATTGCAACATTTCATTATGTATTTATTTCATTATATATTTATTTTGTCAATTACGTTTTTTCACTTTAAAGCATATTTTTCATGGTATTTCATGTTCCTTTCCGTTTACCACATCACACTCCTTATTTATGTTTAATTGTATTATTACTTGATCGCAACACTCCATTATGATTTATTTGATCCCTTGCAAAATCAATAATAGATTTACACTATATACAATATGTGTAGATAATAACTCAGATTTGTGATATTATTTATAAAATCATTAATATAAAAAAAAATTAATTAATTAAACAAACAAACAGATCAATAAAAATGCCTATATTTTTCTATTAATTGTGTTAGTACTTATTAGCATCAGGATTTTAGGCTTTCCACTGTGTTGTGACCAAAAGATAAATGAGTGTGACATCTGGCACTGAATGGCGTATGATAGTGTGTATAATAAGTGAACTCGATGTATTATAAGTGACTATGGCAGTGAACAGAGCTGTGTGTTCTGCACTCACTCTCTGCGTCTCTGCGGTCTGCAGCACTGGCGGGCAGCTTCTTCAGATAGTCCTTCAGTAAGAGCTCATAGCGCGGGATCCGCTGCACCGGCTCCAGCATGTGATGCTGCAGCGTCAGGTTCCCACACACCTCCTGCTTCTGCACACGCACACACACACACACACACGTGTTCAGACTGCAGCCTGCGTTCGGTCATATATCACGCAGGACACAGTTCATGTCATCTGTGGTCTGTGCGCCGGCTCTGACCTGGATGTTCTGGACCACGCTCTTGAACTGAGCGGAGCGCTGCGTCCACGTGCTCACCAGCTCCATGGCACGATCGAAGTTCTTCACATACTCGCCGTACATCTTCAGGAACGGGGCCAGCTTCTGCAGGATGTCCCCTATGCGCGGATTACAGCTCCTGTCACACACACACACACACACACACACAAAACACCTTCATCAACTATAGGAAATCTGTTTAGATCTCAGTAGAATGGTCACATGACGCTGGAGCATGAAACTCCCTACTGTCTCTCCTGTCACCCTTAATGACATCACAATCTTGATTCAGTGGGGTATATTTCCGTTATAATGTCCCTTTTACCTCCAAATGAAATGAAATCTCTCTTTGCTCATACTGGAACTTTTACACGGCAGTGTCTGTTTGAACTATTCATTAAAAGACGTTTCTGAATTACAAGAAAGATCTGCCTCATAACAGTCATTTGTTCTGTAGGCAGTGAGCAACAGATAAACCGCACTTATTTTCAGCCATCTGCACACAGATATCCCTGTTCATTTGTCAGCAAAAGTATACCGGATGTAACAGAGTGTGTCTGGTGGACTTTTGCTAAACAGTAATGTCCGGGTGCAGGCAACACCGAGAAGAGTACACACAGTTCATTTACATTTACTACTGACACTGTAACAATACAAAGCTAGTTATAGATTGGCAAAGTTGTCCTTTTAATAAGAATAAAAATAAGATAATAATCAGAAATGTTTCTTGAGCATCAGTATATTAGACTGATTTTTGAAGATCACGTGACACTGAAGACTGGAGGAATGATGCTGAAAATACAGCTGCGCATCACAGAAATACATTACAGTTTAACAGAGATTCACACAGAAAACAGCTGTTTTGTAATAATATTTCACA